TTTTTTTTTTTTTTTTTTTAATAACATTCATACTAACGAAACTTCAATGGTTTTACAGATCGAAAATGATGCTTATCAAGAAGATCTTGGTTATTCGCGTGGGACGATTGGCAAAGCAGGAACAGGTCGTATTCGATTACCGCAAATTGATGAAAAAACAAAAGTACGGATATCAAAGACACTCCAAAAGAATTTGCAAAAACAACAACAATGGGGTGGCAGTACAACGGTTAAAAAACAAGTTTCCGGCACTGCGTCAAGTGTTGCATTCACTCCACTGCAGGTAAGCAATTAATGATAATCAAACGTACGGTTATATTATAATTTTTAACATTAAATTCAACGTATCTATTTGCATTTTGTAGGGACTGGAGATTGTAAACCCGCAAGCCGCAGAGAAGAAAGTGAACGAAGCTAATGCTAAATATTTCTCGAACATAGCTGGATTTTTGAAAGTAAAAAAAATATAGAGGAAATTGTACATAATGTAGTGTAATGTATCGTTATTTATTATATATTTTGTACAAGTCGGAATGAAATTTATTTGTATGGATGTATCTTATATTATTACAAGGAAGATTTTGAAAAACATATTTGTTTCATCGTGTTTGTATTTAATTAATATCAAATTTCGTCAAAGTAATATTTAAAAATCGAGGAGTTGAATGTTACACCTTGCTTAATATTATACGTTCACTAAGCATTTAGTATTGAGATACGTCTGACAATAAGAGTGCAACTTGAAAGAAATATATGTATATCGTCGTGAGTATTCACGTGTATGTACACAGACAATTTGCAAATATGATAGATGACAGATGACCCGCTGGTGAACTGATCGTAAAAATAAACAGTGCGAAAGAACTTGCCAACTAGAGTGAAAAGGGACGTTGGCGTGTGGCAAACTTGGAGCAAAAAGGATGGATATACACACGTGAGAGAGCATGGAAGAGGAAGAAGCGTGGTTGCGGCTGTGAGAGATAGAGAGAGATAGAAAGAACACCGGGTGGAACGAACGGCAAACCAGAACTGGGTGTCGTAAGGTAATCGTTGAATGCCTCGAGTGCTCGTGTGCGTTCTCACTTCGTCTCTCATCTCCTTTCGACGATATGCGTACATTATGTGAGATTCCACGCTGCTCGTGTGCTGCACTCGGTGCTACGCGGGATATGTGATCGTGCCTTTATTGTGACACGAGGAAATCGTAAGAGAACTGCTGCCGACAAGGTGACAAATTCTTGTCTCCTCCGTTGCGGAATCCACCGGGGAAAACCGGTGGCGAAAGAATAAATCCTGACAACCATGGCGAGTTCTAAAGACTTGGAGAATGATTGGCTCTCATTGTGTCAGGATTGTACTGACTGCTGGACGCGCTCTGGTGAGTCCTTACTTTCTTTTTAAATTTCCGAGACCCGCGGCTATGGAAATATATTGTAAAAATTAATTACAAGAATTTGGCCTCTGAAAAATGTGTTTGAAAACATTTTGATCTTTACTTTCTTGTAAGAATCTATAAGTTCTCGCTAATCTAAGTTCTAATCTACGAGTCTTTTCGATTCCTTACTTTTATAATTACACTTTGATTTTGAAAGTTAATAACGACAATTAATGACACACTTTGTATATACATATTGTCATATGTATCGTGTCAACATTAGATGAGTAATAAGACGTAAAAAAATATACATAACAATATCTATAAGATCATTTCGATGTATTTTTATATTAGAAATAATTTAAACCACACTGTGAATTATTCTAATTATAACGCTAAATTTAAATTAAATATTAATTAAATTAAAGAAAACACTCTCCTATTCACATATATATAACACTAATTCTTCCTCTGCGTAATTTATGTGATGTAAGATCATGTAAAAGCATTAATATAAATCGAGTCATTAAATACGTATCTATAAATATTCGCGGTCAGATTTTTTCTTTCTTGTATCAACTATAATCTGCAATTAATTGATTACATGGTGGCAACGTAGTTACGGACATTATATTTACATCTGTATTACGTTTCTAGATCTTTGCCGATAAAATCGTGATAACTCTTCTTTCTAATTAAAGATTAGTGCACAAAATTGAGTAAGCTGAAATTCGTTGTACGTACATATATAAGTATAATCTCTTAATTAAGACATCAAAATCACATGTAAATCGGAGATAAATTTATATGTAAATTGATATTTAAACATCTTTCGTACTTTCTTCTTTCGATGAACCTGTTGTTAGTTATTTTAGGAAATTCATCTCGGAAATGACAATGGAGGACATTGACATAAAACAGAATTAATGTACAGCTCATGTATTTCTGAAAGCATAAATAACGCTATGTTTAGCGAGTATATAGATTTTGTTCCAAACAACAATTGATTTTTAAATGTTATTTAAATGTTACTTAAATGATTTTTAATTGATATTTAAATGAATATTGAATCTAACTAAACGAGTTAACGTATAGTCATTGGAATGCAATTTTGCAATTATCATTGTATATTGTAATTGTTAAATTTTCCCATTGGAGAATAGATAATGGAATGATACCTTAAAGATCTTACACTTTGCGTGTAAATCTTCAATTAAGACAAACATAATAATATAATAGGCGAATAATTTGATCTAAATGTTTCATTTAATTAGTGGATATATAATTACTGGAGAAAGATGTTTAATTAATTAGGAAATAACATTTAGATTTGTTTACGCCGCGTCTCGTAATGCACCGGCATTATCATAGGAATTTAACGGAACAAATACATATAAATAAACGGGATATTTAACTTCCAAAGTGGTGCGAGACGTTCCGTTATTTATTTGAAATGATATTAATCTTTTCGATAGCCATGATGTAACGCTATTTAATTTCGATGAAGTAATGAAACTTGAACTACGTTCAATACGCAGAGCACGTAGATATTTTGTGTTTTAAGCTGTTGTCTAACGCGTAATTACGTAACGTGGCAAGGTGTATTAGTTATGCGAATACTTTCTCGCATCAGCCCCGTGCAACATTATACGAGAAAGCGATGAGATACCGCTTCTCGCGGTAAAGAGCAAGTGTTCTTTTTGTCCCAACAAATTTTCGATCGACGAAATCGTTCTGTCAATAATGATTTTCATACCGGTGAAAGTTTGCAACCGAACGATACTTGCTAAACTCGTTCTACTATAATTTCTATATAATTTTACATTCCTCCCGTCGAATTTTGTATTTCGTGTTCTTCCTTTCCTCAAGTGATTCCGTAAATGTAATCATGATATTATCTAACATCGATAACACTATTTCATATTTCTATTAAGCAATACTAATGGCTTAACTCTCAAACATTGTTTGCCGATCGAGATAAGTTTTGAGATAAGATAATTGAAAAGTTTATGGGCTCTTTACGCTGGAGAGCGCTCAACTAATTTCCATGTTTAAATGAAATCTCGGTATTGATCAGTTTCAAAGGCTGTTGAAAGGCAAACGAGCTGAGCAAAGATCATGCAGATTCGAGAATAATGAGAGTCCAATTTCCAAGAAAACTTGGAGTATACAATTTCACTTATTTATCGTTTAATCTTATTCCGACATCAGCGCATCCTTCTGGATTATGATTCGAATGTCGCATTTACCAGGCAACAGTCCGTGAAACGTTTCTATATGATAAAAAACTGTTCGGGAAAATTAGTAAACGCATGAGTTCGTTCACGTAACGAAGGAAATTTCGTATGTACGCGCCAAGTAAGCGCATGCGCGCGCAGCCATTATCGACTGTAGCGCGTTCTCCGACGAAATCTGGTTGATCGATGAATGAAATTTTATCGATCTACATTCCTGTTCACAGCGTTCGCAGCTGTTGAATACGCGTGCAATCTTGATCTTCTCTGACAGACTTTTATCTTAAAAAGCACTGTTTCCCACTCGTGACAATTCTTCTTCTTTAATGTGACGACATCGATCTACTTTTCGTGTCAACAGTTTTCTTAGTATAAAAAAATTCTAATTAGACTTTTTAGAGGTTATCTTTAGTTTTTTTTATAGGAATTTAATGATTGGATTATGATGGCTTACCTGAGTGTCTTTTAAACTTCACTGTTAGAAGGTTAGGTTCGAATTGGATTGTTCAAATCATCAGACGTCTAAGAATATAGCAGATATTTGTTTAATTTAAAAATTATGCAATCTTCTTATTTATATGATAGTGATACTCAGTGAGAATGAATTTTGCGATTGTTGATTTGCACCAATGCACATTTAAATTGGCGACATTTTGGGATTGTTGATTTGCACCAATACACATTTACATTGGTGACATTTAGGTTAGGACAAAAAAATGCACATGCACGATAGCGATAACATTGCAATTGACAAAAGATATTTTGTACAAAGAATAACACATATCTTTGATATTTTTTTAGAATAAAAGACTATTAAAATTAAGAACATACTCACAGCAAAGATTCCTTATTTAGCAACATAGCTGAGAACTTGAAATTAGAATGGAATATGAAGGGAAAAATTTAATCACTTCACGTACATACATACCTGTCACATATTATTACATCGCTCTCTTAATTTAGTTTTTGATAAACAAGATGTGCTAAATCGTCTCCAATTTCTAGAAACGAGGAATTTATGATAGTATCCATAGCAAATGATTCGTCGTTAGATAACATAAGACTGACCTTTTCTTTACTCTCCTCCTTGACGAAATAAATTTGTCTTTTTAAATCTTGGTGCGAAGTATCGTTTGTAAGAATTTTCACCGAGACAAGAGATTTGTATTTTTCGAGGATCAGTTACTTTCTATTCGCGATAATCTTCCAGCTCGCGTCTATATCTTTCTCACTTCGGTCTTCGACTAATCGATACCTCGATCGTAAAATTTCCCGCGGTCGTAGGTGTTCGACTATAGGATCGAACGAAATTAATTATGCGGTTAGTGTTCCGTAATTATCGACTCGCAACGACGATCACCACAATCGATATCTCGCGATCGATCTCTCTGACGGGTATCCGACGCGAGGAAATTCATCAGTCTACTCTCGGTACCAATCTGAATATAATTGTTAAAGTTGTGTACTTGGTGAAAAATAGAGTGATTCTGTAAATCAAACTATTAATCGACGACATCTAATGATGTAACTGCACACGGAACCGGTGGTATGTTTGTATTTTTTTTTCAAAATATATATATATATATATTTCTTTCTCTAATACCTTGAGAGATTTTTCTAACCTTTTTTGAATCGTAAAATCGCTTTTTCCAATTCATGAAACGAACAAATCTTATACAGCTGTTTGAAGAACGTAATGCGTCAAGTATCACTCTTTCTTAAATATTTAGTACATTTCTTTCTAATTTAGTACATTAATACGAGTTGATTAAGAATCTTCCGGATTTTTTCAATTGATAAAAGAAAAATGGCGGGAGCGCTATGTTGATTGTTATCGAACGCCATTTTGAGGAAGATGAAAGAAAAATAAAAGACAAAAGGAAAATTAGACGGAATTATTCGGTGATTTTAGAAATAATTGAAATTGTTTCAATTCTTAAGCTATTATGTTATACTTTCAATTTTTTTCTCTCTCTCTCTCTCTTAATTTCTCTTTTCTACTCGTACCTTGGTAAACGATAGGCGGTAACGTCTCGCATCCGCGGCTTGTTATGCAGAATTTCAAATGTCTTCCGCGTTCACGGCTCGATTAATGGACGCCGGGAAGCCGAGTAGGTGTAATATTATTGCCAACGTCCTTTCTACTCTATTTCACCTGGGCTGGTGAATTATTAATTATCATCGGAGTTCAGAAATGCGAGCAGAATTTTGCACGGAGATAAAGATCTTCACGGCGGCACCGCGAGTTATGTAAATTTCTGAGAGTAGGCCACGCGAAACGCTCTTCTCTTTGCAATAAAAGAACACAATCTGCACAATATCAGAGTAAAATAAATACATTCTGATATATCGATTTATGCTTAGTAAGATGCAATGTAAACAATGTTAGCATCATACGTTGAATCATGCGACACTTGATGTATTTTACAAGTTTTTACGGTTGACTGAAAAAAAAAAAAAGAAAATGAAAGTGGCGTTCACTTGTGTCATGAACAAATTCCTTTTTCTTTTTTCTTCTTCAAATTGGCCGTAGTACGCATAGTTAATCATCCGGTAATTCGTAATACCTCGGGTTATCTTGACCACGCTCTAGTGAATACCGTTACCGCGTAAACTTTCGTGCCACGAGGGAGAATTCCTTATCAACTCGACAAGCAGTTTCTATGCACGCACCGCGAATTATGGACATCCTTCCTGGATGTGGTTATTTCACTTCGCGATCAATCTGCTATTTATGAGGGAAAGATAGCCTCGTGTGATGGCCGCTGTTATTTTTTTTAATCCTTAACCAAATGAATTTGTACCTGTCGTCGTAATTCATTCAAAGAACTAGATCAGGTCAAAGCGATAGTTTATAATATTGCATCGTGCTCTTCAGTTTCTTTAAATTTTACAAAATCGCAGATGAGGGTACGA